TGTATATTTACACAAGTGTGGGTGCGTGTGTCTGTGTGTACACGTGTGCACGTATGTGTGTGCCCACATGCATGTGCATGGGTGTATATTACACATGTGAATGCATCTATGTGGGAATGCGTGTGTAACTGCACTGCAGGAGTGTGTATGTGCACTGAGGGAGGGTGTGGTTGTTCCAAGACAGCCACCACTTTTTTCCAATTGTGTGATCTTGGGGGCAGTCACACTTCACACCTCAACCTGAAGAGTTTACAAAGCACTTTCATATACATTGCGTATTTGGTTGTCATAACAATCCACCAAGGTTATATATTATTTCCTCCGGTTCACAGGTGAGGCAACCATCAGAAAGGTGGGAACAAAACATTGGGTTTTGACAATAGCTAGAAGGCACTAATCCCTCTGCATGCATGCCCTGTCCTCTTATTCTTGTCTCTTATTCCTCTTATCCCTGAGGCTGGGATTATTGCTAGACCCATTTTACAGATAAGGAAACTGAGGCTCAGAGGGGTTGCCCAAGGTCACGTGGCTGGAAAGAGTGGAACTGGGATTTAAACAAGGTTTATAAATCCACAGACCACTCTTAGGAGGAAGATGCCATGCTGCCCCTCCCCACATAAATAAGCAAACCATGGATGTCAAGTGACAGAGACAGCCAGATACTGCTCCAAAATTCAGAGGTACAACGGGAGCCGAGTCTCTGGGACTGTGTTGAGTGGGAGGCTAAGGTAGGGTCACCTCATGCTATTCATGGCAAAGTCCCCCAAGTCAGATTCAGTCACTGAGTTCAACTGCCCTCACCCCGCTGAGCTCCCAGGATGTCAGCTGGGGTGAGGAGGGCTCTGCCCATGGGGAGCTGCTCATCAGAAAGGTGGACAGGTTCACACTAACTGTGATCAAGAAGGAGACAGAAGCCAATGATAGCACCACGGGTCTCAGGCTCTGTGGGGACGTGGGGGGATAGCCCTGGTCTCAGTGCTGCCATTGATTTGCTGAGAGTTCAGGCAAATCATAGCCACACCTAGAGATAGAGCTGGGGAGTCCGCATTGCTGAGCGCCTTCTGGGGCCACCGTCAGGCCTTCACTCCGAGCTTCTCCTCTGCCAAGCCCACCCGCGTCCCCCACAATCAAAAGCTCTGACCCTGATGAGGAGAGGGAAGCAGCTTACTTAGGGCTCCAGGGGCAGCTTCCATCTGACGTCACCCCAGGGACAAAGGCCCAGCCGGGCCCCAGCCCTCACCCCAGGAGGGACAGCCTTCTCAGGAGACATGGTATGAGTGGGCCCAGGAGCCCAGGGGGAAGGCCCAGCTAAGTCCCAACAGTGAAGATGTAAGGCCAGCTTGGAAGAACTACTGGGCTGCCTGTTGGCTGCCATTTCAGCCAAGGGCCCAGTGGAGCCCGAGAAGTTTAGCAGGTGCCCCATCTTGGCAGCCCCGGGCAGCAGCCCTGTGTAGCCCTGTCTGAGATGTGCTCCCTCCCAGGAAGGGTCAAACCTACCAGAAGCTGGACCACCGCCTGCCCCTGGGGAAGAGATGGTTCGAGTGGAGAAAGACAGGGGCAGCAGAGACCTGGGCCGGGATGGGCAGCCAGGGGGCTGGGGAGTGTGAATCTACAACCTCCAAGTAAACTGGGGCCTCCCCAGCCCTTGCCCACGGGGCGTGGTGAGGGCCCACGAGACCATGGCTGGCAGACACTGGAGCGGTGCTCGTGAACTGTTTTCAGCCACATGGATCCTTCCGATCCTCAGCGAAAAGCGGCCTCTGCCCGCCTTGAGCTCTCACCCAGCCTGGCCTGGTCTTTCTTTGTGCCAGCAGGAAGCTCCCTGCTTTGTTCATATCGCTAGACAGAGTTCGAGCGATGAGAGGATCAGAAACGATTCCTGTGGGAAAGATCAAACCTACAGACGAAGATGATGATGATAGCGTGGTTGGCAGAAACTACTGCCGGTTCCCAAAGCAAGAACCAAACCAGACAAAACCTTGGAATCCAGCTTCTAGCGCCAGAAACAGCGACAGTGAAAACCCAGGGAACCGCTCGAAGTGCGGGCCGCGGACATCACCTGCGAGCCTGTTGGGATCGCAAAGCCTATGTCAGACCCGCCAAGGTGGACACAATCTTACCACGCTGGGCAGACAGGGGTTCTCAATCTGCCCTGCACCGCCAGACCCTGGCCAGTGCCTTTAAACGTCCAGATGCCAGGCAGCTCCCCAGGACGTCCAGGATGGGGCTCATCTTAGAGCTCGTCATGCTCCCAACACGCAGCAGGGGTTGAGAGCCATTCTAGACCAACACGGCCTTTTGCCAGTCCAGGCACGAGGTCTGAAGGGGAAAGGGACCTGCCTACGGCCACACGGCCAGCTGGTGACGGTGCTCGGGATCTGAGCCCAGGCCCCCTGTATTTGACCGTTCTACGGAGAATGGGAGATGGGGTAGTAATGGGGGCATCGGGCTTTCTGTTCTCCATCGGGCTCTTCCTCGTCCCAAAGGAGGAGATGTGTGGACACAGGCGGCCTTATCTGTCTTTGGATTCCCTGACGGGTGGCACTCAGAGAACCCCACCTTCCTGAGCAGCAGGGGCTGGGTGAGACTCAGCTTCCCAGTCCGTGCCAGTCTTTGGGCTGGAAAAGCCCACCTCCCCTGCCCCTCCCCTCCCTTCCAGGGACTGCCCCCCGGCCAGGCCTCAAAGTTCTCAGAAGGCAGGTGAGGTTTCTGAGCCCCCACAAGCTGGGCTCCTGGCTCCTCTCAGAACTGCAGGGACAGGCCCCAGCTCAAGTCAGCGACCACGACGATCTCGAAACCAGCAGGCAAGAGCCTCCCTCGTGACTTGTTTTTCTTCCCCGGCAGGCTTCGGGGGCGTGTGTGTGAGTGCGCACCTGAAACCTCTGGTTGTCTCTGCTTTGTGTCTTTGGCTGGTGTTTTGAAGTGGCTTTTTGTTATTCTGCTCCTCTCACTCGGCTTCTCAGCAGCGAGGAAAACACTTGGCCCAGCCTGCTGTCCGCTGATGAGCCTTGGATCCCACGTAAACAGCTTGCTGAGGCCTGGCTGGGCTGCACAGCTAGGGAGAACCTGGGCCTGAGGAGCCTTTGAAAATAAACATGCGATGTAAACACCCCCCGAGCTCAAGGAGGAGGACAGGGCAAGCGACAGAAAGCAGAACTTTCTAGGCACACAGTACTTCTACGGATGGCCACGCGGGTCAGTCCTGCAGCCCTGGAGCAGGCAAGAGGAGGGGCTTTGTCTCTCTCGAGCCTGAGGCCTCCTGGAAGGAGGACAGCTTCTGCCCCCACTTCCTGGTGTCTGTCAAGCTAGGTCTTCATCTCTTCCATCCACCATGGTAGCCACCGGCGATGTGATGTGGTTGAGTACTTAAAAAGTGGTGAGCGCAACCAAGGAACTGAATTTTTTACATAATCTTAATTTAAATGAAGTTTGAGTAGCCGTGGCTGGGTAGTGGCTATTGGGTTGGACAGTGAGGCTCTAAAGCAGTGGTTCCCAAACTTGGCTGTGTGTTCACACCACCAATGTCACTTTGGAACCCTCAGAGGCCGAGGGCTACCACAGGGAATGCTGACTGGTCGGTCTTGGATGGGGCAGTAGAGTCTCAAAACTCTCAGGTGACTCAGGTGTCACTCAGGTGACAAAACTCTCAGGTCCACAGGTGATTTGAAAGTGAGCCAGGTTTGAGAGCCTCCCACCAGAAGTCTCTTTCACTGTTCTTCTGACTCTCACACCCTACATATTGATCTGGTTCCTACAGTTTTCAAGAAAAAAGGTTTTTTTCCGGTACTGGGAATTGAACTTAGGACCTTGCACTTGCTGGGCAGGCACACCGCCACTGAGCTACATACCCAACCCCAATTTTCAAAATTTAAAGACTGAGAAGCTTACCTAGGGAATTGACTCAAAATACTTAAAAATGTTTTTCCATGTTCGAAATTTAAGGAATGTTCATTGTAGAAATTAAGAAAATCCAGAAAAATAAAAGAAAGAATCCCCTAAAATTCCATTATCCAAAGTCACAGGGTCAAAACCTCTAGGTGTGTACCTCCCCAAACATCTTCCCATGGGGAGAACTTCATTTTCCACCAAAATTAGAATTACACTCTTTCCTATATTGTTGTTGGGTTTTTCGTCACTTTGATTCTTTTATAAATACTCATTTACCATCAGTGGTAATGGGGACTGTATGGTATGCTAAGATGTACAGAAAATACAATTTATTTACCTAAATCCATATGAATGTTGTCCCTACTTTTGCTACCATTTTTTAAAAAACATTATAATAATAGTAATAGCTGGGCCAGGGATTTAGCTCAGTGGCACTGCACCTGCCTCCCAACCGAAAGGCCCTGAGTTCAATCCCCAGTACCAAACAACAAAAAAATAGTAATAGCTTTAAGAAAAGCCAGCCATTAATCCCTTGGGAGAAAAGAAGATAATAGAACTAGCTCAAAAGATACCCAATGCTAAGACTTCCCCTGAGTGTTTACTAAATCGCTCTCTAGGAAAATTGAATCCATCCTCATCCCGCCCACCAGAGCCTGAGATCACCTATCGCTTATTAATGCTGGCACTGGAGACTGAACTTGTCAAATTTAACAAGGCTGGGGGAAAATGTTGTGAAGAAAGCACCAACCATCCTGAAGTTCAGCGTGCCCTTACTCAACACTGCCTTAGGGACGGGTGACCGGGACTGGAGGGCACCACACCCTCCAACATGGGGAGGGTGTCACTTCCACCTCCCGGTGGTCCCTACCTAGGTCAACTCTGTAGTCAGGAAGTTCTGTAGTCACTTCCTTCTATGCAGCAGCCTCTTATCGCAGCTCAACCTCCCACCCCCTGGGCATCTGTAACGGCCATGGGAGACCACTCGGGACACCTTTGGTGGCTGCAAGCCCAAGGCACACACCAAGCATGCTCCGTGTTTATTGATGAATTGGGTATCACAGGGCAAAAGTCAGGCTGGCCTGCATTCCCCAGGTCTCCAGTCCCGAGCCCACCTTGCTAGAATGGCCAGTGCCAGCCTCACTGAAGGCCTTTCCAGTCCTGGGCCCTGGGGGATTCACTTCCTCTTGCTGAGCCTACAAAGAAAGCACAGTGTTATGTTCCTACCTAGATGTCCCCCCAGGCCTTGTACATCCCAGGCAGAGCTTTTGGAAGGTGACCAGATTGTGGTCCTCACAGCTGATGGCTGTCCGGGTGGCGTCAGGTCACTGTGGGCATGGCCCAGAAGGGTTTATCTCCCACCCTGGCTCCTCTCTTGTTTTTGTTTTTGGGGTTTTTTTGATACTGGGAATCGAACTCGGGTCCTTGCGCTTGCAAGGCAGGTGGCAGAACCACTGAGCTAAATCCCCTGGCTCCTCTCTTGAAGCACTCTGCTTCCTGTCCTCCACAAGGCAAGCCGCTCTCCTCTGCCAGGCCCCTCTGCCATATCATCCTGCCTCGGAGCCAGCAGACAGTGGGCTGAAACGTGAGCCAGAAGAAACCTGTCCGCCCTTGAGTTGTGGGTGTCAGGTATCGTATCCCAGCAGTGAAGAAAGTGACCAAAACACGTAGATTGGAGGACCAGTCAAAAATTAGGCTGGTGGCCGATGATTTAGCTCAGTGGCACCGCGCCTGCCTCAAAAGCGCAAGGTCCTGAATTCGATCCCCAACACAAAAAAAAAAAAACTAAGCTGGGAAGAGGGAAGAGGCTTTGTTAAAAATAATAACAACACGGGCCGGGGATTTAGCTCAGTGGTTTCACCGCCTGCTGCGCAAGCTCAAGGACTGGAGTTCGATCCCCGGTACCACAAAATAATAACAACCCATGACGTCAGTGTGGGCCTACGGCCACGCTGGCCAGGCCCTGACTTCTCTTTTCGTGAGTCCCCAGGACCCACAAACACACACCGTTGAAACCCTGCCTCTGCAGTGCTAGCATTTCAGGAATCACGCGGTCCCCAAAGATGACCTTTCTCTAGAGACTCACTGAGAAATGAATTGAGGAACCATCCCTGCTGTGCTTGAGAGGGGGAGCAGAAAGGTGGGATGGTGCCCAGCCCTGTTCCCCACTCAGCCCTCTTTCCGGCCCCCTACTTCTGCCCTATGACGTCGGGGCCAGGGTGAAATTTCCCTCCGGGCCCTGCATTTGCCACCCCCTTCTGCCCTGCTCTGTGCCCCGTGATATCCCTGGAGAGTCCCCCACATCATCATAGAACAAAAACAAAAACAACAAAGAAAACTACCCGACCTTCCCTCCTTCCCAGCTCTGCCCTCTCACCCCGGCCGGCAAGGGGGCCTCTTTGTTTCAAACGCTAGAAATGAAATCGCTTTTTTTTCCCTTTTCACTTCTGCTATTTACACAAAAGTGCCTGCCAGTGGGCCTCGGCACCAAACCCATCATAATTCAAGGTTATTTTTGGATGTCTCAGCTGTACAAATCTACAAAATGCCAAAACCCAGAACGGGCTCGGTGAGTCAAGCAGCGAGAGAAAGACAGAGGGAAGGGATCGCACGCTGCCGAGAAGCTGCCCAGGCCAGGTGCCTGGCTGACGTGATGGCCCCTCACACTGCAGGCTCCCTCAGACTAGAACTGCTCTGGGCTGTATTTTTACCACCAGTGAAACTAATCGTAAGCATCGGGACATTTGCTTGAGGCCAAGACCGACTCGGAAACCAGAGTTCTTTTCGCTGAGCCCCAGCCCCCTGCTCCCGCCCACAAACGAAGCCACCAATTTCTTTGTCCCTTCTCGGCCTGTGCGTCACACACAGCTGCCTTCTGTCCTCTGCCCTTTCTGCTCTGGAACAACAACGGGCCCAATCAGAGAAGGTTCTAGAAATTTAGTAGGCTTCGGTTTGGCTTTTCCCCCGCAAAGCACTGGCAATATGTCTCATTCCATTTCAGTGACCACGGGAGAGGCTGAGGCAGGACTCTCTCGTGGAGCATGGAAGACCAGCAGAACTGGAGCTACTGCATGAGTTTCCTTGAAAAGAAAACCTAGAACTGTACCCTAGAGTGGGTGGGTTTTACTATATGTAAATGATACCCTGCATAAATTATGTCATAAAAATTTTTTGCTCAAAACCACATTTTAAGAAAGGAGTGGGATTTGAAAAGAGGGAAGTATTCGACTATATAAATGAACACTTGAAGTGACATTTAGGGTGAGTCACTACAGTGGGCATGTGTTGTGTTTATGGCTGTCATCTTAAGAAGAGTCATCCTCGGGCTGGGGATGTAGCTCAGTGGTGCTGCACCTGCCTCGCAAGCATGAGGTCCTAAGTTCTTTCCCCAGTACCAAAAGTAAAATAAAATAGATACAACAAAAACTCAAACTCCCAGCCTCCTCGAAGCCAGGACACAGGCCCAGGCCTCCTCCCCAGCCATTGAAGCGCGGGTGTAGATTGGCTCAGAAGTGGCACTGCCCTGACACCGGGCCCCCTGAGCTGCCACCCTTGCTGGGGTGGGGGCAGCAGAAGGATTTGACCTGGGGCGTCCACTGGTTGCGGAATGGAGCTCCCAGTTGACCCAGTGTGGTGCAGGGCACAGAGGAGAGGACTTCTAGGTGACTCCTCTGGGAAAGTCCTTAACGACTCTGGGCCTGGCCTTCCTCCTCTCTGGAATGGTGGAATTCAGCAGGGAAGTGTTAGCGTCCGTCCTTCCCCCATCTGGAAGCTCCTTGATGCCCGTGACCTGCCTGTCAGTCTGCTCACTCCCTGAGGCCAGGAGGAGACCGCTCATCCCACCAGAAAGCCCCCAGGGCAGGGACCCAAAGCCAACACTGATCTTGCAGAGGCAGAGCTCCATCCTCTGCCCAGCCTCCCTGAGCCCCAGGTGGAGCCTCCTTGGGGTCAGATCCATAGCCACGTGCTTTGGTTTAACTCAGCCCTGCACTGGGCAGCAGGAACATGCCAGGTGCTGTTTCCGCCGGGCCTTGAATGACGAGTTAAAATCCAACAGGGGCAGAGGAACCAGAGCAGCTTAGCTTGAAAGGAAAACACATGGAAACCCCCAGGAGGAGGAAAGTGCTTTGAGGAGACCTCTAAGTTGGTCCAGAATGGTTGAAGCAAAACAAGGATACAGCCAGGAAGTCAAGACAAGGAAACCCCAAGTGTCAAATGGGCCAGGTCGAGAGGGGTCCCCAAAGGTTAGGCCACAGAGAACAGCCAGGATCATGGGGTCTGGTCCCCAAGGGAGCCAGAGGAGGAAGGGCTGCACCCCTGCCTGCAGCAGCGGTCAAAGGCTCAGCACAGACACCTGGGCTGTCTAGGACCCAAGACGTGCGACCTGAGCTATTCGATGCACAGCTCCGCCCATGGGCACCTGGGTTTCTAACTCACCCCTGGCCAGGAGACCCATCCCATTACTCCCATCCCTGCTGCGGCAGTGAGGTTACTTCAGCCCAGACTTCCCGTCGCCCTTCCCGAACAAAAATAAAGGTCACCGCGGAAGGTTCTCCCGGCGGGGGGCAGGGGGCAGCCAGAGATCTGGGGTGATCCTCAGCCACACACAAGGGCTCTGGCTTGGACCTGCTGGGGACAGCAGGAATCCTCTCCGGGTGCCCAAAAGACAATGGCAGGAAGGGTTGCTGAGCAGTTTTGCAAAGATAACCAGCTGCCTTGCTCCTCCTTTACCTGCCCTAGGACCCTCCACCCCCCGGCCCCAACCCCCTCTTCGGATCCTGGCAACTTGAAAAACACAGACACCCAAGCCTCACCCTGGCTGTGCCCAGTGCCGAGCATCGCAGCAGCAAAACAGGAAGCGCCTTTCTGCCAAGGCAAAGCCATTGTTTCCCTCCCCTCACGTGTCCCAGCCAGAGCAGGAAACCACCAGGCGGCTGTGGCACAGGTGCCAAGGTGACCCGCTCTGCTGTCCTCCCCACCAGTGGCCGCAGTCCATGTTACAAGACCGCAGTCTCCCTCCAGATGTAATTCCTCACAGCGCCGCAAAAGGACCTGGGAGCTAAAATTCCAAGAGCTGCTTCTTAGATCTTTTGATCACAAAATTCTAGGCCAGTTCAAAGTTGACCTAAAATTTCTCCACTTTGGGGGGCCCCGAAATCCATGCCCACCGTCTGCGGGGCTCCACAGGGACCGATGGTTCCCACGTGGAAGAAACAGAGGCTGGAGACCGGAAGCTGTTGGACAATCGGGTGCAGCCAAGAAAGCTCCACTTGGACCAGGGCTCCCGGGCAGGACGGGCAGGGCTGAGAGTCTGCAGGCCGGCACCCTCCAGGGCTCTGGCCCGGCCCCTGGGCCTATCTTTAGGATATCTCGAGGATCTTCTCTGGGTGTCTCAAGACTCACCCCTTTCCTTCCTGCCTGCCTTGAGCCCAGGCCCTTTACACTGAGCTCCATCCCCAGCAGACAGGGTCTCACTAACTCACTAAGTTGCCCAGGCTGGGCTTGAACTTGTGAGCCTCCTGCCTCAGCCTCCCAGAGAGCTGCGATTCTTTCTTACAGTAGCAGGAGGCTGAGTTTACAGCAAGCTAATTTTCCTCTGTCCTGCAAGCATCCAAGTGATCAGCTGGACTGACTGCATGACTGTGAAGGTAACTTCCAGGTCCTGCTCCCTGCTCGTTTTCAGAAACCTCTGCTCACAGGTAGGACTTCCCCAAAGGACAGGAGCGTGCACATTCTCAAAGAGCAGGGTGGGGTGACATAGGCCATGTCTGAGGGCACCTTTCCCAGGCAGGGAGGGGGCAGCCAGGCCTGAGCCTTTCACACCCCCCTGCCCAGCGTCAGCAAGGACAGCTTGACATAGTGGGAAAAGTCCCTTAGCTTGGAATCAAAGGTCACTTCTCTTTCAAGTCTCCATTTCTTCGGTCAAGAATGGAAACCTATTAAACAGGGTGACCCTGAATGAACTCAGACACAAGAATGTGCTGGAAAACACGGAAGCCCCACAGAAATGTGGAGGTGTTGTTTTCCATTAGTTGGAAAGCTCACAGAGTAGGTAAGTGGGTGCTGGATGGATGGACAGATGGATAATGGATGGACAGATGGCCAGGTACTGGAGAACAGTCACCCCAGAGAAATGCTTTCTAGCCATCTCTTTCCTATGCCCCAGCAGCAGGAAGTATCTCATTTCAAAGCTGTGGCCAAAATCAAAGACATCTCAGGGCCCGGACTGAGGGGCCTGCCCACTGAGCAGGTAACAAAGGCCAGAAATCTGGCTCTGAGGCCCCATCACTCCTGAAAGTGTGGCCTCCCAGCCCTGAACCCCTAAACTGAGCGAGTCAGAGATGAAGCGACATGTTTGAGCCCAACTTCTGGCCTTGACGCTCCTGACCACTCAACCCTGTCCTCCGCCCTGCACCTGGTTACTTCTACCCTCAGCTGCAACCTTTCCCAGTGATGTGCCTGGGAATCTGGGCTTTCACTCCTGGGACATCTTGGGTTCGTCCCTGGTTAGCACTCACTACACTGTGTCGAGCTTTTGTCTTCTGTATTGCTAAACAGTATGAAATGCTTAGTACATAAAGTTCCAAAGAAAAACACGATGAAGACCTCTCTCATCAAGCATTACCAATAAGCACAGTTAAGCTTCTCTGTTATTTTTTTGGTACTGGAGATCGAACTGGGGACCTTGCACTTTTGAGGCAGGCGCCGGAACCACTGAGCTAAATCCCCGGCCAGTTAAACTTCTCTGTTGCATGCCCCCCACCCTGAAGTTAGAATACACTTTCTCCAGCTTGCTTTTACACTTTTATCCATACTCCTTAGGGTAATTATGTCCTTCTTTGTCCATCTCCTCCACTGTTATAGACTGAATATTTGTTCCTCCTACTATCAAACAAACAAACAAAATCACACATTGAAGCCCAAAGCCCTAAAATGGCTCACAGATGAGCCATCTAAGGAAGTAAATAAGGTTAAATGAAGTCAGGTCCTTGTTGGATATGATGGTGCATGCCTGGAATCCCAGCCGCTCTGGAGGCTGAGGCAGGAGGATTGCAAGTTCGAACACAGGCTGGGCAACTTAATGACTTAGCAAGACCCTGTCTCAAAATTTTTTTAAAAAATTTTTAAGGCCTGGGGGTGTAGCTCAGTATGAAAACCCTGGGTTTAACCCCCAGTACCAAAAGAAGGCGGGAGCAGGGTGCTGGGGGTATAGCTCAGTGGTAGAGCACTTGCCTAGCATGGGCCAGGCCCTGGGCTCCATCCCCAGCAGCACAAACAAGAGAATGTGCTACTGATTTCACAGGGTTGGTGTTCTCCTGAGAAGAGACAGCAGAGCGCCTTCTTCACTTCTTCTTCCACTCTCCCCACACACACACACACACCGTGCGAGGACACGGAGGCCCGATGACCACCTGCAGCCAGGTGAGAGGCTCACACAGCCAGGCCTCCAGGTGGGACTTCTGGGCTGCAGAGCTGCAAGAGCCTAACTTCCGCCTGCCTTTTTGGTCTCGGCAGCCCACATGGACAAACGTGGCTCCCCATGAGGCTCCGTGTAACTTTGGCAAGGCCAGGGACCACCTGTGTTCATCTTTGCGTCTGTGGAGTCGCTGGCACATAAGCGTTCACCAGACATTGGTGGGATGAAGGAGAAAGGAAGGAAGGAAGGAAGGAAGTTATCACAGAAGCAAAGCCCGTGTCATGGCATCCATTCCCTAGCAGCAGGGAATGTCACAGTACAGCTCCTGCTCACGTGGGTGTGATGAGGACAGACAATCAGCTTCCAACCAAGGGAATGTGGAAGTCAGAAGAAGGCCTTCCCAAGAAGGGCGGAGGGAGCACCAGCGCCTTGGGGAGAGGCTGAAGTCACTTTGCCAGCCATAAACGTCTCCTGAGCACCTGCTCACGAGCTACTCGGGCAGGACAGCCTCTGCTCCCAAAGGCAGTCAGTCTTGAAAGACCAAGTGGTCCAGAGACGCCTCAGACGTAACAGCGTGGTACCTTCCAGCCTCCTGGAGACATGGGCTTGGGTCGCCCTCACTTCGAACACAAGCCACGTCCTCGCCACAGCATGGACGCAATGGGGCAGGAGACACCTGAGGCCTGGGTGAGAAGGAGCTGCCTTCAAGTCTTCGCAGGGTGTGCAACATCTGCTTTTACCAGGTGGAATGAACAAAAGCCCTCTAGGCTACAGACAGCCATGAAACTCAAGCAAAGCACTGGACTCTACCAGATTACATAAAAGAATCTGTTTGGTTTTGCTTTTGGAGAACAGGTGACTGAACCCAGGGCCTTGCACATGGCAGGCAAGTGCATAACCACTGAGCTAACCGAGGCAGGGTCTCTAAATTCCCCAGGCTGGGCTTGAACTTGACAATCTTCCTGCTTCAGCCTCCTGAGTAGCTGGAATTACAGGCATGCACCACCATGCCCAGTAAGAACCTGTTTATAAAGTCAGCATTTTTCTAGGCAATGCAAAGACTGTCCAATGCAATCCTGACTTCAAGACGCATGCAGCATATTCTAGGATAGGAAACAGTTCCCTGTCATTGCTGTATACACCAGCTTGGGGCCCTGAGGTTAGGGGCGAGGAGAGTCCCAAGGATAGAGGTCAGCACAGCTAGCACAGGCCAGGGCCTCTCGCTGAGAGCAGATGTGTGGTGCTGGGCACAGCCAACCTAACACAGGGAGGGGAAGCTCATGATCAGTGCTGAGAAACACTCGGGAATTCCCAACACTGTGCTCAGAGCCCAGCTAGGAAACTGAAACCGAACTTCCCAAGCCCGGCACACAGCTTCCACGCGGCTAGGGCGGAGGAGCCAGGAAGCTCCCAGGGGTCCCAGATTCCCCGGCACTGGGGTGCATCTGCACCAAACTCACCTGGCCTAATCTGAGGCCTCCTAAGAGGCCAATGCTAGGGAACCAGGAAGGCTTTTGTGACTAACGCAGATGATCCTGAGAGAGCAGCGGAAGTGTGTGTGGTCCTAACCCTCTGCTTTCCAGATGGGCAAGAACCAAAACACAGGAAGCAACTTGCGGAGGTGACCTAACCAGTGAGAAGAGGGAGACTGGAATACAGGTCTTAAGGCTTTAAACTCATTTTTTCTTAGAAGCATCTGGAAGAAGCTTCTGGACTAGCTCCAAGCCAATGTTGCCCTGACCTTTCTAATTGACATACTTGCCAGTGCATGAGCTCTTAGCGTCCCTTCCACCTGGTTCAAGAGACTGCTGATGTATGTGGAGTGAGTGGGCTTCCAAGCGCCAGTGATGAGAACAGCCAGACCTTTCAGGCTAAGTGGAAAGTTTGGGGAGGGCTTCTGATGCCTCCATCTGGGGATCCGAGACCAGTGGACAGTGCGTAAGCAATGGGCAGGACGCCAGGGAAAGGCCCTGGGCTTGTGTCCCGGGCAGTCCAAAGTTGGGTGCCTTTACCCGTGAGAACACTTCACTCACCCACGGCCACACAGCGAGCCAGTGAGGCGCTCGACAACTGCATCTACCCACCTGAATGCTCTCCGTGAGTTTAGGGAAAGGAAAGCTCTTCCACCTGCTTGTTGGCCTCCCTTCCGGCCCTGTGCCATCCTGTAATCCTTCCTTCGTTAGAGATGTGGCCTCATGTCATATGTGTGTGTCGAACAGAACCAATAAATGAGTTCACCAAGTTACAAGATAAATGTACAAGAATCAATCATATTTCTATACACTAGCAACAAGCAATCTGAAACTTGAATGAAGGTGGACCCCTACCTCACACCATGCATAAAACAGCTCAAGATGGATCAAAACTAAATGTAAGAGCTAAAACTATACAATTCTAAGGAGAAAATATAAGAATGAGCCCATGTGAACTTGAATTAAACAACACTTTCTTAGATGTCATACCAAAAGCCCAGATGACAAAAGAAAAATAAATAAATAAATTGGACCTCAAATTTTAAAACAGTGTCCTCCATAGGACACAAACAAGAAACTAAAGAGAATCCAAAGAATGAGAGGAACTACTTCTAAGTATGCATCTGATATGATGTATAAATATACATCTGGTTTGTTATTATATAAATACACCTCTTATATTCATATAATAATACATAAAGAATTCTTACAACTCAACAATAAAACATAGTGACCCAATTTTAAATAGGCAAAGAATTAAAATAGAGATTTCTCTAAAGAAAATATATAACTTGTCAAGAAGCACATGAAAAAATGCCCAACAACAGTAATCATTTAGAAGATGTGTATCAAAACCACAACGCGATAACAATTCATCCCCCTTGAATAGGCAAAATCAAAGGATTGTCGTCCAATACCAAGTGTTGTTGACTATATGGAACCCTCATACACAGCTGATGGAAATATAAAATGGTGCGGCCACTCTGGAAAATAGTTTTAAAGCTCCTCAAAATGTTAACCATACAGCCAAGCATGGTAGCACACGCCTGTAATCCCAGCTCTCAGGAGCCTGAGGCAGGAGGATCTCTGTGAGTTGGAGGCCAGCCCGGGCTACATAGTGAGGCCCTGTCTCAAAAGACCAAAACAATAAATAAATAAATAAAGCTTACAGTAACCATATGACCCAACAATACCACTCCTAGGCATATGTCCAAGAGAAATAAAAGCATATGTCCCCACAAAAACTTAGACACAAACGTAATAGTCGTAATAGCTAAAAAACAGAAACAATTCAACATCTAACTGATAAAGAATAAACAAGATGTGGTATATCCATACAATGGAATACTATTCAGCCATGCAAAGAATGGAAAGCCGACCCTTCCGACTCAGTGGGTGAATCTTGAAAACATGCTAATTGAAAGAAGTAGACACCAAGGCCACATGCTGGCTACTTCTATTTCTAAGAAATCTCCCACCTAGGCAAATCTGTAGAGACAGAAAGCAGATGTGTGGTTACAGGGGGTGTGGGCAGGAGAAGAAACAGAGACCATTATTAATGATTGCAGGATCGTCAGGTGGGGAGGAGTTAAAATGTTCTAAAATCGGCTGTAGTGATGGCTGTACAACCCCGTGAATAAGCAAACATCACTGAACTCTGCACTTTAAAAGGGTGCATTTTATAGCATGGGAATTACAGTTGCCATTTTTAAAAAGAAAAGGAAATGCCATGGGAATAGATCCACCCTTGTATCTCCCTTCCTTTTCACCTTCCTTCATCTATCAGCCCCATCCTGTGGCCAAATCTACCCAGAAGCTGCAGGGAAAGGAGTTTAGGAACCATGGTTTTTGGTGATGCTGAGCAGGACAAAGCTATACCCAGTGCTTATAATTTTTGATTTCCATGGCCACCATTTTTATACATGTTTGACTTTCTCGTACCAGAAAGCGAAGTCAGCCAGCTTCCAGTACCGTCCCCCACTGGAGTGGCTCCCGCTGCTGAGCGAAGATAGAAAGTTAGAGGCAGCCAGACACGGTGGCACACACCTGACATCCCAGCACACTGCCAGGCCGAGCCAGGAGGATTGCCACAAGTCGGAGGCCAGCCTGGACGATATAGCGAGACCCTGTCTCAAAAAAAACGGAAGTCACAAATAACCCCACCAATGAAAGGTCCCCGTGGGAAGTCAGTTTGGATAACGCCCATGCCCACTAGAGGTCGTCAGTGGGGAGGGCAGCTGCGTCCCTCCCTGGACTCCAGGATCTGTAAATACCCTCTTCAACTTTCACTGTGTGCTACGTGCCACAGACACATGCGGGTGGGGCGTCCTGGGGAACCGCTCCTGGGTGACAGGTGGCCCTGGTCCAGTGCTCTGCCCTCACCTGGTCTCTGGTGGCTGCTGGGACAGTGGCTACTTAGCTGAGCTGAGGGTGAAACTCAGAGATGTGGGACACGGATCTGGGCAGCCCCTCACCTAGGCTCTGGGGGTTTTCAAATGTAAATGACCCAGTGATTCACGATCCTATGACCAGCGTGTGGGGCTGTCACTCTGTCACTTTCTCATACCCCATGCCCTTCTTGAGGCACAGGCTCAGGGGGCGGAGCAGAGGTGGGAGGGGCAGGCAAGGGTGGCTCCCAGCACATCTGAAAAGGGGCTCTAGGCCACTTCCTCCCCGGACAGGGGAGCAGGAGATGCGGGCAGAGCCTTCCTGTGTAGTGACGGCAGCCGACAGTCATGGACCCGGGTGAGTGAGGAGCAGCACTGGGGCCAGGACACCAGGCTGAGCCTGGGCAGAGGGTGTCTGCTTCCAGTGCCACCGCACCATGCAGGGAGGGAGGCCGCTGGGGAGGGAGGCCACTGGGGAGGGACAGGGGTCATCAGTGCCCGGGATGACAGGGCCCCTGAGGGGCGTCTTTCTGACACAGCAAGAGGTGGCAAACAAGCAGGGCACAGGCTGGGTAGCCTGGAGGAACTGTGCTCAGCTTGGGGTGATGAGTGAGGTCCCCAGGACTCCGGGCACCAATATCAGGGGGAATGAATGACCTCCGAGGTACCCAGCTAGGTGGGGCTTTGAGGGGGGAAAGTGGAAGGTGCCCAGGCCGTGGGATCGGTGCCAGCCATGCAAATGCCAGCCACCTCGCCCTCTCCACCTCCCACTTTGCAGTTGCCTCTTGCAAGTTCGGGGCCCAGCCAGGCAGTGCACTGGGGTGGAACCGCCCTAGCCAGGCCCCTGGTTGAACCGGGCTTAACAACAGACACTTTGAGGGGCACCCTGGGGCAGGGGGGTGCACGTCGGGTCCTCCAGCTCCAGAGCCCCAGCTGCCAATCTCAGCCGCAGATCAGACCCGGCCAGGCGAGGCCAGGTTCCTCGAGGGCTCCGGGCTCCACCAGTCAGCGCAGCCTCAAAGCCACACCACAAAGGGTGGCTTTAAAAGTGAAGGTTCCTGTGCTGTCCTCGCCACACCACAGCCCTCGCCCTTGGCTCTGCCTCCCCGCCCCTGAGCCCTGCGTGTGGATAAAAGGCTCCCCAGGCCCTGATCGAAACCCTGGAAAGCGGCATCTCACCCCTACATCTCTGCCTCCTCCCCTGCACTGGGGCTTGAGTGGGAAGTGTTTGTGGAAGGAAAGAATGAATGATGGATGAATGATGAATGAGTGAGCGAGTGAGCGAGTGAGTGAGTGAATGGTGTCAGGAACTCTAAGTCACTTTGAGTTTTGGAAAATCTCTTCCAGATGGGCGTGGTGGTGCCCGCCTGTCATCCCAGCACTCTGAGGGGTTGGGCAGGAGTATCCCAAGTTCAAGCCCAGCCTGGGCAATGTAGCATGGCCCTTCTTAAATATAAAATAAAAAAAAGGTTGGGGGTGTAGTTCAGTGCCAAGTTCCTGGGTTCAATCCCCAATACCATCAAAAAAAATCTCAGGGGCCGGGGATTTAGCTCAGTGGTTCCACCGCCTGCCTTGAAAGCACAAGGACCCAAGTTCAATCCCCGGTACCGAAAAAAACCACAAAATCTCAACCTCTCCCAGCCAGGCTGCTTCGTAAGGTCACTCGCCAGCTGTCCATCTCATGGATCACAAGCCCAGGGTACCCACAGTACCCACAGAGACCTGCCTGCTCCAGCCTCCCTCTCTGCTCACGGCTTAAAATGGTAGTGGAAGCAGCCGCTGGTTTCAACCGCACAAACTGTCCCCGGGCCTAAGTCTGGGGGTGCCGGATGCAGAGGGATAGGCACCGTCCGGCCTGCAAGAAGGGGTGCTCTTGCCTCCTAGCTCAACCCGAGCCCCAGTGCTGAACCCTCTGAGTCGCTTTGCTCAAAACGGGCTCTGGGCCGTTGGGAGGGCGGGTGGACGGCCAGCGAAGGCTCTGCTTTCCACCCTGCAGGGAGCACAAGGGAGATGCGGAGGCAGAGTTTCTATTACACAAAATGAGAGCTCCGCCCAGGCTGGGCCACTTTTTTTTTTTCCTGATTTGAATGAGCAGCCTGAGGTGCCCCAGACCTCAGAGAGCTCAAAAGCAGAGAAAACACAGACGAGCCTGTGGAAACGGCGTCCCACAGCCTGGCCAGAGACAGCGGCCAAGGGGATGCTGAGGAAGGCAGGGCCAGCAACTGGGCGGGGGGCTCCAGCCGGGCTCGCTATGGCCACAGCCTCCTCTTCCCCTGCTGCTTTCTTTCGGCTGCTCTGTCACTGATTGGGGAACTCGGGGATGACGAGCTTGATGAGGAGAGAGACAGGTGTGTTGAGAAGCTGCTGGGCCGAAGAGAACTGTGAACATAGATCAGGGGCAGTTACGCTGGTTTTTGAAGGGTGTGGAGAGTCTCAGATCCCTCGCTAGCAGCTGTGTGACTCTGGCATGTGGCTTCAGCTCTCTGGTTCCCTATGGAATCACATGGTGTCGTCCTGTAAGATGTCAGGAGCCAGAGACCCTCGAGGAACTGGGCACCTGAGAACAGTAGGATGTGGTTTCAGGAGTCGGAGGGGTCGAAGCCCAGCTCCACTACTGGTTGTTGGGTGACCTTGGGAAAGCCATTAACCGTTCCGTGACTCAGTTTCCCCACTGGCAGGTGGGGATGATTGTAGTGCCCCTCAGAGGGCCTCTGTGAGAAGGAAATGGGATCCCCCAGGTAGGCAGTATGGCACGGAGGGCTCTGTGCGTGCAATGTCACCCCTGATAAAGCACTGGCACCTTACGCACTCCAGGGTGGCACCAGCTCTCTCCTGTCCCTGCCCTCAAGACAGTGAGGTTGCTTTGGTAAGAAAGTCCAGGCAGGAAGCCGGCCAGGGTGGGACACGCCCGTGATCCCAGCATTCTGGGAGGCTGAGACAGGAAGATGGAAAATTCAAGCCCAGCCGGGGCAACTTAGAGACCCAGTGAGGAAAAGAGGTGGGGCAGCCACAGGCCTCTGCTCCTGCCCGGGAGGTTTCTCAGGCTGGGGTGAGGCAGGAGTCAGGGGAATTTTCTTTTCATAGTGACCATTGCCAAAAACTCAAGAACTCAGAAAGCACCCAACATCTAGGTCAACTGCTCCTTCAACCCCGAGATTCCCAATTTCCTGGTTCCCACCCCGCCCCTGCCCAGGGCCGGTTGCTTTATGACTTCTTAACAGACAGGAATGATTTGACTCACACCCCTGGCCACCAGAATTTCCCTAACTTCCCCTGGTAGCTTTCTCAAAAATGGGCTGTCGTGGGCCTCCAGAGCTCTGCTCGGCACCAAGTCCTGTCACCAGGAATGAGAAATCACACACACGTGCACACACACGCACACACACGCATGCACACTCACCCAGACTCCCTGCCCCCGCCGTAGCAAACAGAAGGGTGTACAGAGTCAAAGAGAAACAGTCTGCTCTTTGTGCCTCACCTACTCAAACTGATCAACACTTCAAGATCCTCCTTCCTGACGGTCAGCGTGGGCTTTCACTAGAGCAACTGAAAGACGGTGATGCACTGAAAAAAACTCGAACACTGAACACCAGGCTGAGTCAGGGGCTGGGCGTGCGCTGGACCCTGAGGACAGTGTGCTCTCGAGAACACGTGGCCCTCGAAGGCTTGGGCACCCCAGGGTGACTAATGCTCACAACAGCCAGAGACAGGGAACAGGGTGCTTGTGCCCAGAAATGGAGATGCAGAAGTCTCCAGGGGCTGAAGCACTAGAGGGGCTTCATCCTTCCAGCTAGGCAGAGCCTTGTGGGTCTGGGGAGAAGGTGCCTGAGGTTGGCGTCTCTGGCAGTGGCAGGCAGGACAATCTGCTGCAGGTGGCAGAAAGGTCTGGTTACCCATGGGGCCTGATGCCCTTCCTGCCTCCCCTACCTACGCCCAAGCCTATAACCCCAGCCTCCCCCGGCCTGAATTTCAGGCAGCCTGGGTGTCGTGTGCCCGGGGCTCCGGCAGGTGGCGCTGTGGCCAAGGACAGGAACTTCAGTGGCTTCCCAGTCTCCAAGGGCGAGGAGTGGAGCCTAGGGTCGCACCCTTCCGGGGGCTGCGACAGCCGGCAGGTCCGGCCTGGCACCATGAGTGCTGGTGCAGGGACTGACACCCCTGGGGACCAGGGCCTGGCTGGGAACTGAGGGTGAGGGGACAGGAAGGGGCCGCAAGGTGCTAACACAGCTCGCCCCGGGCAGGGCGGCCCAGACCCCTGCCTTAAGGGTCCGTCAGCGTCCCCAGGCTCAGCCACGGCTGCCGTGGTCACCCAGGGCAGAGTGACCCGGGACAGTGTCCCCTCCGTGTGGCTCAGGCCACCCGAGGAAGCACAAGCCAGGCACTCACACGCCCTTTCAGTCCCCGGCGCCCCTCCATCCTGGGCCCGCGCTGGGTGAGAGGAACCGGTCCTAAGGTGGGGGGGGGGTCCCCAAAGCACCCCCGCATGGTGGAAAGACCAGCGATCCAGTCTTCTCAGTAACCCCCACCCCCAGGGTCACACCTCCGCTTCATGCCCTATAGGAGTGAGGGGCAGCAGACCCCTGAGCCAGGCCCCACGGTCTCGGGGGACCATGGCTAGGGCAGACCCCAGCTCCAGGAGCAGCCCACGTGGGCCAGTCCAGGGGTTCAAGGCAATCTGGTTCTGACGGTCCCTTTCCCAGGGTCCTGGAACTGGGGACGAGTGTTCCCAACACACCCCTACCCCAGCCCGCTGCTCTCCTTGATAACAACTCTGTTCCTGCCAAGCAATAACCTGCCCTCTCATCTCCAGGGAAACCAATGAAAAGCCTGCTGGTGGTGGCCCTGCTCATCGCTTTCCAGGTGAGGTTTCCCGCCACGGGGGGCTGAAGCCCTGCAGCTGCCCTCTCCCAAGCCAACCAGGCCCAGTGGAGAAGCTGGGCCTGTGGGAAGGAAGCAGAGCCCTGGGGACAAACCCACCACCATCCATTAAGGTGGGGCTGCCCCTCTCCATCTTCGGGGTGACCTTGGAGATGACATCCTTGGGGATGTCCTCTGCACTCTTCTACTCCTTTAAACCCAAGCATGGGAGCGTCACTCGGCAGCACCTCCCCACCCAGACCCAGCAGCGTCAGGCCCAGAAACTCAGACCTCCCGAGCTCCGAGGGAGAAAGGCTGCAAATGGCACAGGACACACAGGACCTGGCTCTGCTCTTCCACGTGCACCACCTGCATGTGTAAAATGTCGCATGTGAGCAGAGAGCAGAAGCCCTGGTCCAGTGACCCGCTTTCCTCCTGTCGCCCAGAGCTGTCTCTCAGCCTGGAGCCAAAGGCTCCCCTGCAGCCCAATCCCTTGGTGACACAGGGACTCACGTGGGCTCCCTGCGGGCAGGGATAGGGCCAGGACTTGGGGAGGTGGGGATGGAGCAGGCGCCTTTGGGGGCCTGAGCTCTGGGCGCACACGGACGTAGACCCACACACACACACACACACACACACACACACACACACACACGCCTGTTCCCATTCCTCGATCCCAGCAGTGGAGGCAGGAGGTGGCCCGACTGCCAAGACTAGAGCAGAGGAAGCCCGACTCCGGAGTTGGGTTTCCTCTGTGGCCGGGTGGGAGCTCTCTGGGGTGGGACCGGCCTCAGAACTGGGCTCTCTCCCGGGTCTGGGGGCCAGACAGGCACTGTTCCAGGAGCTCTGGCCAGAGGCAGGCCCTGGCTGGGCAGCACTCCCAAAACCCGCTCCGAGGCCCCCAGGAGCTTGGGCTGCAGCCCTGGACCTGGCCTCCTTCCCATCCCCGGCGCCTCCCCAGCCGGCTGCACACTCCGAGGGGCTGCGGCGGGCGGGCTGGAGGCTGGGGAGGCCTTGGAGACAGCTGGGGTTCATTCTTCTCTTTTCCCGGGGAGGGGGGGGGGTGCAGACACACAGAGCAGGATGTGGCGGGGCTGTGGGCTGCAGAGGCGGCAGGGCTGAGGGGCTGGGGGTGCAGGGGGGAGCAGAGGAGGGACAGTGGGTGGGGAGCACTCTGCAGAGAGGCTGGGGAGCTGCCCCTCCCACGGAGCCCCAAAACCTCGAGTCCAAGGAGCTCAGACTTAAGCCCTGGGCCCTACTGCGGCCCACCTCGGCCCACCTCTCCCGGGCTCCAGGCTGCAGCCGTGTACGGAGAGGGCAAAGGCTCCTGGGTGCCCTGCTGCCCCCAGCCCGTCCAGTTACAGAGCTCAGACTGTCACTGAGCTGCTCAGGCCATCCCCAGTCCATAGTGCAGAGATGGGCCACACGCCTTCCTCCACTGATAAAACCACAGCGGGCTGCTGCTGATCCTTCACCCCAGGCAGACTAAGAAAAGCCCAGAGCAGCTGAGCCCTGCTGTGGGGGTCCGCCAGAGAGGACACAGGCAGGGAGTGTGGCCCCCGGGGCCTAACAGGCTCTAGGAGGATGGGGCAAAATAAAACCTCTGTGGAGGTGAGAGGAAACCAGAATGGGGGAAGGAACCTCACAACCACCATGTACGGGCCACAGGGAGATAGGATTTGTCCATCTCACAGGTGAAAAGACTGAGGCTCAGGGCCAGGCCTCGGATCTCCTTGGTTCCTAGGCTCAGCCCATATCCAGTCCCCATGAGCTCCAGGAGGCCCAGAGTTGGTGAAGTCAGAGCCCAGCTGCTGATTAGCAGAAACACAGGCGCTCGGGATGCAAGGCAGGTTACGCATTTCAGCAAGATCTGCAGGTAGTTTTACATATGGCGAAGTTCGAGAACTGATTTCAAATCGAAAGATCACTCAGAGGGCCGGGGATTTAGCTCAGTGGTTCTGGCACCTGCTGTGCAAGCGCAAGGTCCCAAGTTTGATCCCCAGTACCAAAAAAAAAAAATCACTCAGACATACAAGAAAAATACAAATCCTCCCCGCCCCACCCCAGATATTGGCCCCAAGAGACTCAGCTGAGGCCTGAAAATGTGCGTTGCCAGCCCATTCCAGGTGATGCCAATGCCGGGGACCATGCTGTGGAACCCAGCTGGCTAAATCCCAGCCAGACTCAGACCCGCCTGGCTAACCTGGGCTGCCCGCCCTCATTTCTTCCCCCAGGTGTGCTTGTGTCAAGATGAGGTCACGGAGGACTACATGGACGAAAACACCACAGTGGACTACACCTTGTTCGAGACTGTGTGCTTCAAGAAGGATGTGCGGAACTTTAAGGCCTGGTTCCTCCCCGTCATGTACTCAGCCATCTGCTTCGTGGGTCTTCTGGGCAATGGCCTTGTGGTGCTGACCTACATCTACTTTAAGCGGCTCAAGACCATGACCGACATGTACCTGCTCAACCTGGCCATGGCGGACATCTTCTTCCTGCTGACCCTCCCCTTCTGGGCCTACAGTGCGGCCGAGTCCTGGGTCTTCGGAGTCTCGCTGTGCAAAATCATCTTCAGCATCTACAAGATGAGCTTTTTCAGCGGCATGTTGCTGCTCCTCTGCATCAGCATCGACCGCTACGTGGCCATCGTGCAGGCCGTGTCTGCCCACCGCCACCGTGCCCGTGTCTTTCTTATCAGCAAGCTGTCCTGCGTGGGCATCTGGGTGGTGGCCACGTTGCTGTCCATCCCAGAGATGATCTACAGCGGCCTGCAGAGGAGCGGCTCCGAGCAGGCGCAGCGCTGCTCTCTGCTTCTCGACCAAGTGGAGTCCCAGATCATCATCCAGGTGGCGCAGATGGTGTTCGGCTTCCTGCTGCCCTTGCTGGCCATGAGCTTCTGCTACCTCATCATCATCAGCACCCTGCTGCAGGCGCGCAACTTCCAGCGCAACAAGGCCATCAAGGTGATCATCGCCGTGGTCGTGGTCTTCATCATCTTCCAGCTGCCCTACAATGGCGTGGTCCTGGCGCAGACGGTGGCCAACTTCAACATCACCGGCACCAGCTGCGAGCTCAGCAAGCAGCTCAACATCGCCTACGACGTCACCTACAGCCTGGCCTCCGTGCGCTGCTGCGTCAACCCCTTCCTGTACGCCTTCATCGGCGTCAAGTTCCGCAATGATCTCTTCAGGCTCTTCAAGGACTTGGGCTGCCTCAGCCAGGAGCGGCTGGGACAGTGGTCTTCCTGCCGGCACGGGCGCCGGGCCTCCATGAGCACAGACGCAGAGACTACCACCACCTTCTCTCCCTAGGCCGCCTCTGCCTGGATGGGGACCCCTCTCCCAGGAGCAGAAGCAAGCACTCAGGATCCTCCCAAAAGCTGCTGCGGGAAAGCAGTTCCGTTTACCCTGAGACTGAGCGTAACCCTAGCTACCTCAACCCAGGCGGAAAGAGAAGCTGGCCCCACCGCAAGGCCACATCCACAGACTGGAACCCAAAGCGGAAGTCCAGGGAGCATCCGCAGCTCCCACAGCGAAGAGGATGGGCAGGGGAGCAGCAGCGTGGGGCGCTGTGAGGGGACCGCTGTGTCCTCTGAACCCCCTTCCTGCTGTGGAGACGGGGTCCTCCCAGGCAGAGTCCAGGGCAGAAAAACAGGCTTCGCCTCCAAGGCCAGGATGGTTGGTCGGCATGGCGAGGCAAGGGCCCATGGACCAACTCTGCATCCCTTCCTCGGCTGCTCTTTCCACGGCCATCCACACCAGCAAGGGCCCTGCCCTCCAGGCGCTCCTGTCCCCGAGCTGCCACCCCTCCCAGCTCTGGTCGGGGCCGGCTGGTGCCTCCTGCGGGCCAGGCCAGCTGCTTGGCCCGACCCAAGGCCCACGTTCCCAGGCAGGGCTCCAGAGCAGGATGCCGTGCCACCAGGCCTGGGCTCTGCCAGAGGAGCGGAGGGGGCGGCAGGGCAGGGAGGACATTTAGGGGAGGAGGCGGGTGGTGGCCGTGCTGGCTGCCAAAGGCCAGTGAGTTCTTTCTCTGCTCTCGGGCACGGGAACAGAAAAACGCTCCTCCGGTTCTGCAACCAATCCATAAAGACAGCACATCTTATTCATACCTAATAAAGCTTTCCCCTGGGGAAACAACAGCTTTAAAAGCAGGGAAAACATCTTTGGCCCGCAGCAGGTCGGTGTGTCCCTCCATGCCATCCCAAGCCCCTCCTGGGCCTCCTCTTCCCGCCTCCCCAAGACGCTCAGAAACCCGAGGCCGTCACGTCCAGTGACACGAGCCCAAGAAGGGGCTGAGAACACCGTGTCCACCGCACAGGTGCAGGCCAGGGGACCGCAGCCTGGGTGGCAGCAGTGACGGGGGACACTAGTCAGAGTGAGGATGTGGGAAGGCTGAGCTGTCCTGTACCCTCACCTCAGGGACTCACCGCCAGCAGCATCTGCAGACCACTCCACCCGCCTGTCCCGGCTCTGCCCGGAACTGGAGCCCTGACCTCTGTAGTTCCCAGAGCTGGGGTTTGGAGGAGGAGCGTTTCCCTGCGATACAGGGTCTCGGATTGGGCCAATGAGACGCGCCGGATGGGGCTGCCGGGACCCCCCATGATGGCCATGTCCCTCCGTGACGTGGTGTGTGTCTCAGTGGATACCACAGGCTGCGTACCTGCTAAGCCATAGAAACCTCTCTCGCGCTGAGCTCCGGCCCCCAGCCCTGCCTGAGGCCTTTCCCCCCTTGCACAAGGCCGTCTCTCTGTCGGTGACGCACTAACAGGTGGATGTGGGAGGGACTCACACTCAGGCTTGCGCAGGGCGGACACCTGCCAAGGGGGAGAACCGATGCTGCTGCCCCTGCACAGGCCAGAGGTCCCTGTCACGGGGGCCCAGGTGTCCACTCCATGGTGTCCAGGGCGATGTCCATTGCTCTGGGCCTGGGGGGCACATGGGGTGGCTAAGGTGTTCCTGCAAAACATGGCTCCACCAGTCTCCCCACACGCAAAGAACCTCAGTAAAAATGGCACTTGGGCCGGGGATTTAGCTCAGTGGTTCCGCTGCCTGCCTCGCAAGCTCAAGGTCCTGAGTTCAAGCCCCGGTACCAAAAAGAAAAAGTGGCTCTTGCCCAGTACGATGCCAGGTGGTGACACCCGTTCCCAGTCTGGAACCACATGACGCTGCCCTCCTCTGCAGGATGCCCTGGGAATGGCCGCCCTGGGGGCAGAGCTGGCCCAGCTGTGTTCACAGCGATGGCATCAGCCGTCAGAGGTGCAGCCGTAGGTGCAGCCCATGTGGGAAGGCACTGCCAGGGTGCCCTGCGCCCCAAGGGGAGCCTGCCTGCGTGTGTGCAGTGTGTGTATCCCAAGGAGGCTGCAGAAGGGAAAACAGCCCTCACGCCTGCCGGGAGGAACGCAACAGAGCAGTCAGGGAAAGGGAAGCCAGGCCAGCCGAACTTGCACGCCACCCCAGCTTCCAATACGTTTTTCTACAATAACTGGGCGGCTCCAGATATTCACAGAGACAACGGAGCCCCCAGCCATGTCAGTTCCCCAAACTGGTGTCTCAGAAGTCCTGGCTGGCCTCACCCTCTCTCCTTGGCACAATCTCACCTGCCTGCCCCCGGCCTTGGGGCGACCCCTGGGAAGGAGGAAAGGACCCCGGAGTCCCACCCGAGCCTTCTCCCGAGCCTTCTCATCCGTGTGCTGCCTCCACCCCACCTCCCCAGGGTCCCAGGTTCCCTTTCATCCCCTCCCCAGCTGTGGCCCCTTCAGCCAGCATGGCCACACTCCCGGATCCCAGTGCTGCGGGGGCCTCAAAAACCCTCAGGGCCGAGCTCACCCTTATCTAGATGATGAAACTGAGGCCCAGTGGGAGGAGCTCCCATGCCAGGAGAGATGTGGAAATGGAGGGAGGCTGCTTAAACTTGCCCCAGGAGCCGGAGGGTCTGGCAGGGTGGCCAGGGGGTGGGGAGCAGAGCCCTGGAGCCTGGCTGACTCCGAATCTCCCTGACCTCCCCCGACTCTGCTGCTCCCCAGCTGTGTGGCCTTCAGCTGTTGCTCAACAGTTCTGAGGCTCAGATTTCTCAACTGCAAAACGCAGAGGATTTGGGTATAAACAGCACAGCGCCCGGAATGTCGAATGGGGCAGGGAGTGGGGGCCCCGGACTCCGCTGCCAGACCGTCTGGTTCAAATCCCAGCACCGCTCCTTGGCCTGGTAGTGCAGCCCGTCTGTCGGTGCCTTGGTTTCCTGATCTGTACAATGGGGTGACTAATAGCACCTACCTCCCACCGTGGTGGTGAGGAAGAAATTAACCCACACAAGCAAAATGCTTAGAAACTCGGAGATAAGCATTGTGGGTAATCATTTAGATGTTTAAGAGACAGTAGCCAAAAATAAATAAATAAATAAAGTTGCTAACCTCAAAGCAACCACGTTCGATTCTTTAGATCAATTTCCATTCCCATGTAATGTAATAATACCACGTCGGAGGCGGCTTCAAGATGAGGAAGCCCGGCCTGCCCGAGGGAACCTGGTTTTTTGTTAGTGTGGGAGCAGGGTTAGCGATGGCCAGGTTTCCCTGGTCTGAGCCCCTAGAAAACCCCGGGGACTAACGGGGTCCTCTCCCTCCACTCCAAAGAGCACCCCAGCCCCAGCCCAAGGAGCAGCCACCTCAGGCCCAGCTGGCCCACAGCAGCCTGGTGCCCTGCACCCCTCGGCCAGACCCAGGCAGGAGGCCCACTGCCCTGTCTGTGCACGGCCCACTTCTGACTTTCCTATCCCATCGGCTCTTGCCTTCCTGTGCACAGCGGGAGAGGCCTGCCGAGTTACCTTTGTCTGTTGGGAGCTCACTGCCTGGGCTCTTCTATGTGTCACAGCAGCCCAGCCCTACGGAGCCCCATCTTGGGGTAAATGAACATCTCACGCCAACAGGGAGGGGTCAGGCCCAGCCCGCTCTTGAGTGGCGCTGTTTCCTCCAAGGGCAGCAGATCCTGTGGTCACACCCGCACCCGCACCTGCAGAGGGCCGGTGACCAGGCCGCGTGCCCGGGTGTCTGCTCGCTCCATGTCAGCACTGGCCCCAGCGTTTATGTCTGCTCTGAGCAGATATCTGACACCTCGAAGCCCAGCAGATGCTGCAGGTTGAATGTTCAACATTTCCCCACGGCCCAGAGGAGGCTGGAAGAGCAGGCGCGTTTCCCTCGTGTGGTTCAGGCACTGGCTCGGATTCTCCCCCAGGACCATGGCACTTCTGGCGGCCTGGCCTGACACCTGGAGGCCTGTGATCCAGCAGGTGCTTGGGAGTCACCTCTATGGGAAGCGCTGTGCCTGCTGCCCGGTCACCCACTCCCCCCACCCCGACCCTGGCACCCGCTGGCACCAAACCCTGGGCAGAGGGTGGACACGGGTGCTGGCGGAACAGAGGCCGGGAGGAGGTGTCAGGGAAGAAAGAGTCTTCGAGGGAGTGGAAGGACAGCTGCATTTCCCGAGTGCCAGTGATGTGCGGAGCACAGCACCGACCAAGCCACCTCCTTCAGGCTCAGAGAGGTTAACAACTGCCAAGGTCACACAGCCAGCCTGCGATAGAGCAGGAAGTGACTTCAGCTGCATCTTGCCAGCCTCCTGAGTCCTTGCTTTGTCACTTTATTACGGGCTTCACCCAGCTGTTTGTTCAGCACCAGATAAGCCTGGACCCCTCCTGGGTGCCAGGCATGGTGCAAGGCACAACCCATCTGTCTCAGCACCTGCTGGGCGCAGAGCTCTGACCCGGGAAGAGAAGGAATCAGCAAAGACATGGCCTCCTCTGACTCGCAGCTGGCACGCCCAGGGCTTTGCCACCACACTGTTGCCTTCTGCCCCGCGCCCTGCTTCCCACACGGGGGTCCTGGCTCTGCCTTGGAGTCGTGGTCCCCTGGGGGTCGCCTCCACTCTCTGTGTCTGTCTCCTCGTTGTCAGGGTAGGGTCCCTGCCAGCAGGGCCCTGGGCCTGGCACTGCTGGAAGGGGGACAGGGCGGGGCACGGGGCGAGGAAGCCACTCCCCCCCCAGCTGCGGTTTCTGGTGGGGCCAAGGTAGCAGCAGGTGCAGGGAAGTGTTCGTCACCTTTCCAACAAAGAAGGCCCCCAGGGCACCATGGGAGCAACGGTGAAGGCGCCAAAAATAAAACCCACCTCTCCCTCCTTAGGGGCAGCGGGCCCGTCCTCAGGGCTGCAAGAAAAGTCTCATGCATGGCATATGAAAGGAGCTGCTCAGTATTCACCCAGGAACACCGCTACACACACACACACACACACACACAAGCCCAACCCTGGGTTTGTGCTTTGGGTCCCCGGGCTGGAGTTCTCGGCTCTTTCCAAGTGAGGACGTTTCCCTTTTCCTTCCGTTGTACCCCTGGTCTTGCATGCTACAGTGTCCTCCTTCTGGCACCACTCGAAGCTCATCCGGGAACCTAGCAAACTGGCTGCAGAAGCACCCTGGGCCACACACCCCCAGAAGCACAAAG